AGCGCCCCCCTCTCTTGGCACGCATGGTGGCTGCTTTTCCACCAAGTTCTAGCTAGCCTCACTTGAGCCTGCCTCCCTATAAATATGATTATTGTGGGGCACCCGGGCGGCTCAGTCGGTTAAGCCTCTGACTCTTGATTTTGGCTCAGGTCACGATCTCAGGGTCCTGAGATTGAGCCCCACCTTTGGGCTCTGTGCTCAGCGGGAAGTCTGCTTGTCCCTCTCCCTCTGCCCCTCCCCCCACTCATGCGCACACGCACTCTCTCAATTAAATGAATTAATAAAACCTTTAAAAAAAAAAAGATTAGTGTGATATCCAACCATAAAGTGATCCCTGCTTCTGAAAGCACCAATCTAGCTTCCCTGGACCCTCCCCCAAATCACTCCACCAAAGTCCAAATCCCATAATAAGTTTGAAGAGCCTCTCACTGAGACCCCAGAGCGCCCTGGCATTCACGTTCCCTCACTGCAACTCCGTCATGGCTGTGCTCCTGGTGGTTTGGGGCTGAGGGCATGGACAGGGTTTAGCCGTTAGGCCTAATTTCCTGTTAATGAAAGAGAAACCAAAATAACAGCAGCTTGAACAAGATCCATCCAAGATCCATCCCCTCCTCCCCACTAAGTCCAGAGATAACTAACTGATGGTTCCTCCACCATCAAGGGCCCAGGCTCCTTCCATGTTGTGGCTGTGATTTCCACCTCAGGCATGAGGAACATTCGAAATATATACAAAAGTAGAGCGTAGACTATACTAACCCCCCCCAGTCTCCACCCATGGCCTGGCTTACTTCATCTATTCCCCCATCCGCTTCCTACTTCCACCATCCGGAACGTTTTGGATTATTTTGAAGCAAATCCCAGATATTATGTCATCAATACTTCAAGAGATATCTCTAAAATAGAAGGACTGTTAAAAGGAAAGAAAGAAATCTCCAATACCATTAGCACAGCTAATAAATGACTGATTTCTTCATATCATACAATACGCGATGTTCACATTTGTCCCTCAGACTCACCCCTAACATTTGGGGACCCTCGAAGGAGCCCACACAGTGGATGTCTAGATATTTACAAGTCTAATGCAGCTTTGCTCGGGGGCATTCCCACCCTGGGGCCCACAGCCTGCTCTCCGAGGACCACCGTTGAGACACAGTGGCTAAGGATGCTGTGCTCTACCCAACCTTTCCTGCCTGGCACAGATTCAAACCCGAAATGAGAACTAACAAGTCCTAAGTAGTCAAGCTTGGAGGGGGGGGGTCTCAGGGAGGCTAGAGCACCATTACCTGGGGAACCTGGGGTGCCTAGCTCAAAACCAAGCAGCCTCTTTCTCTCTGGTTCCCCCTGGGGGTAGAGGTGGGTTTTCTTCACATGCAACCTCCAGGGTGTGCATGCTCTCTATCTCTCTCTCTCTATCTCTGGCTCTGAGCCCCACATCCTCGGGTCAAAGAGGTCCGGTTCAGCTCGTTCTTCCCTCTCCTGTAACCCTGCTTGCTCAATCAGTTGCCAAATTTTCCATACTTTCCTAAGAGATTGATAAGGAGTAAGCACTTTCGTGGGTTTTTGTTGAGTGCTTGCCCCTCGGGGCGCCCAGGATGGGAGGGGGGTACCATTTATAGCCGGTTTTTTGGAATCACAATCCCAGATGCCCATGCACTGCATTCAGTTGTCTCCTTTGCCTCTCAGCTTTCTGTTTTGCCAAAGTCAGACCTACAGAAAAGGTGAAAGAACCGTGCAGTGGCCACACGTCTGCCTAGGCCCCAGATTCAGCCCTCGCTCACGTCCACCGCCTTTGCAACGCCTCTCTCTGCCCTGCCCTTGTATATAAATGTCTTTGCTGACTCTTTTGAAAGCAAATTGCAGACATCCTGACTCTTCACTCCCAAATGCTTCACGTGCCTCCTAAGAATGCCATCCCCCCACATAAACACCCCTCGTTATCACCCCCAGAGAAATTGACCAGTGATTCCGTCATGCCCTCTGATGGACAGGCCACATTCAGATTTCTCCCGCTGTGCCACAGATACCCTTTAGGAACTTTCACTGTTCTTGTCACCAATCCAAGGGCTCATATGTTGCATTTGCTTACTGGGTCTCTTTGACAGCACCCCCCCCCCCAGGCCCCCAAACCCTCACCTCTTTTTCAGTGCTGTGATCTAACCCCCCTGGAGGAGAGAGGGAAGAAAGGAAGGCTGGAAGGAAAAAATCTCAGACGGCAGTGCAGTTCTCAGAAAATTTCAGCAAGGGCGCCTGGGTGGCTCAATCGGTTAAGCGTCTGCCTTCGGCTCAGGTCATGATCCCGGGGTCCTGGGGTCAAGCCCCGCATCGCATCGGGCTCCCTGCTCAGCGCGGAGCCTGCTTCTCCCTCTCCCTCTGCCTCCCTCTCTCTCTCTCTCTGTCTCTCATGGATAAATAAAGAAAATCTTTTTTAAAAATAAATAAAAATTTTAAAGAAAGAAAATTTCAGCAAAACCAATGGGAGTCCTTGGGAGTGCCCTGTCTCCCAGCAACAGCCTACCTCGCTGTCTTTCAGACACTGGCCGGCCGGCCGCCAGGAAAGCACATGGAAGCATGGTCTTAGTGCTAAGGACCTGGGATGTATTTCTGAGCACAGCCGTCTCCTCAGTCAGTTAGGCTCCTGCCAGTCAGAGAGAGACACTACTGAGGCCACCGCAAGGGTACTGCCTTTTTTTTTTTTTTTAACCTCGGTGATTTTTATTTTATTTTACTTTATTTTAATTTTTTTAAGTTATTTATTTAATTAATTAATTTATTATTATTATTTCTTTAAGTAGGCTCCGTGCTGGGCTTGAACTCAAGACCCTGAGATTGAAACCTGAGTTGAGATCAAGAGTCAGACACCTAAAAAAAGGAGAGGGGGCACCCGGGTGGCTCAGATGGTTGGGTGTCTGCCTTCGGCTTGGGTCACGGTCTCCAGGTCCTGGGATCGAGCCCCGCGTCCGGCTCCTGGCTCGGCAGGGAGCCTGCTTCTCCCTCTCCCTCTGCCTCTCCCCCTGCTCATGCTTGCTCTCTCTCTCTCTCTGTATCTCTGTGTCTCAAATGAATAAATAAAATCTTTTTAAAAAATAAATAAATAAATAAATAAGCAAATAAATAATATAAATAAATAAATAAAACCTCTAAAAAATGAAAATAAAGAGAATTTGTTTTGCCATGTAAGTTTCTAGCTGATAAACTTTATGTATCCTTGAAACACTTGTAATTATCCCTGATATTTGTTGTAGCCATCCTAGTAGGTGTGAAGTAACATTTGCCCAATGACTAAGGATGTTGAGCATCTTTTCACGTGCCTATTAGCCATTTATGTATCTGCCTTGGGGAAATTCAGATTTATGATTCACAAATACTTAGCCCATACTTTTATATTTTCACTTTCTTGATGGTGTCCTTTGAGGCACAAAAGTTTTTAATTTTGGTGAAGGCCATTGTATCTGTTTTTTTCTTTTGTTACCTGCACTTTTGGTGTCATACCTAAGAAACTGTCTTCTAGGGGCGCCTGGGTGGCTCAGTCGTTAAGCGTCTGCCTCCGGCTCAGGTCATGATCCCAGGGTCCGGGATCAAGTCCCACATCGGGCTCCCTGCTCTGCGGGGAGCCTGCTTCTCCCTCTCCCACTCCCCCTGCTTGTGTTCCCTCTCTCGCTGTGTCTCTCTCTGTCAAATAAATAAATCTTAAAAAAAAAAACTGTCTTCTAATTCAAGATCACAAAGATAGACTTCCTGTTTTCTTCCAGGAGTTTTATATTTTTGGCTCTTGTATTTAGGTCCATGATCCACTTTGAGTTAGTTTTGTGTATGTTGTGAGGTAGGGGTACAAATTCATTTTTTTTTTAAGATTTTATTTATTTGACAGAGAGAGACACAGAGAGAGAGGGAACACAAGCAGGGGGAGTGGGAGAGGGAGAAGCAACCTTCCCAAGGAGCAGGGAGCCCGATGTGGGGCTCGATCCCAGGACCCTGGGATCATGACCCGAGCCGAAGGCAGACGCTTAACGACTGAGCCACCCAGGCGCCCCACAAATTCATTCTTCTGCCTGTGAATATCCAGTCGTCTAAGCACCATTTGTTGAAAGAATGTTATTTCCACACTGAATTTTCGTAGCACTCTTGTCAGATGGCAAGTGACCATATGACCATTGACCATGGGAGAGTCTTATTTCTGGACTCTCACTTTGATTTCATTGATTTATATGTCTGTCCTTATGCTAGGGCCATCCTTTTTTGGTTCCTGTAGCTTTTCAGTAAGCTTTGAAATTGTCCATTAAGTCCTCCAACGTTTTTCTTCCTTTTCAAGGCATTCATTTTTTTTTAAAGATTTTATTTATTTGTTTGAAAGAGAGACACAGTGAGAGAAGGAACACAAGCAGGGGGAGTGGGAGAGGGAGAAGCAGGCTTCCCACTGAGCAGGGAGGCCGATGCGGGGCTTGATCCCAGGACCCTGGGATCATGTGGGATCATGACCTGAGCTGAAAGCAGATGCTTAACGACTGAGCCACTCAGGCACCCGCATTCATTTTTTAAATGTATGTCTTTTAATTCTCTTTTAATCTATCATGCCCTGGACCTTTTTTCCCTTTTACTTTATTTGTTGAAGAAACAGGGTCATTTGTGGATCACCTCTCCATGGTGTCATTTAACACATTCTTCTGTCCCTTGTGTTTTGGTAATCCAGCGGCCTGATCTGATTTAGATTTGGTTTTAGCACAGGAATAATTTGCAGGAGGTGTGTGTGTTTCCAGAGTCAGAACATAATGTAGGGTTGACTCTCCCTGTGATGTTAGGGGTCATTCATGATCTTCACCTGGACCTCCCCCCGCCCCCTTAGAGGTAATTTACATTTTGAAAGGGTCACTCTGATTGCCGGGGGTCAGGCGGCTATAGGTGTGAGGGATAATCGTGCAAGAAAGCACTTGTTGCCATGCCTGGCACAGAATGACCAGTCAATAAATATTAGCTCTTATTGTTGCTGTTGTTGTTGTTGTTAGAGCTGTGTGTGGGGGACCCACGCCCTGGCCTCGGAGCCATTTTTTGGCCAGAGCGTTCTCCTCCCTCTCCTCTGCCCTGGAGGAGAAGTCACCAGTGTCCCAAGGCTCTGGGAGGCATGTTCAGGAATGTGACAGCCATCCATTTGCACCTGGCCGGGGTCTTCCAGAGAAAGAAGGCTGGAACTTCTCTCGCTCGGTGCCTGCACCAGACTGTAAGTGCTCTAGCCCCATGTGTTTTGCTGCCCAACCCAGGGCCCCTGGGATCTGGCATGGGCCTGGCTTCAAAGCTGTGCATCACGCTCTTCTTTCAGGTTGCCTTCCCTGACTGTAGCCTGGAGGGGACCCTTGCCTTGCCTTGCCTTTCCTCTAAGGAGAACTTGTAGCTCTGCATCTGAATGGTCTGCATGGTGCTGTGCTGCCTCCCCATCATCCCCTAAGCCCAGCCCAGTGTTCAGTACACAGTAGGTGCTCAGTAGACACTGGCTGAGGAATACATTATACATAAGGCCAAGAGCAGGCCCTGTCTCCTCACGCGATTAGTGTGTGACATACTTGAAGGGGACACCTTTGAGGTCCCCCAAGTTTCTGTGGTCCCATTATATTTACTTCCTTCCTATTCTCATTCACCTCCATTCACCTCCTTTGTTCTCTCTCTCTTTATGCCTCTGTACCCCCTACCCCTTACCCCACCCCAACCTTCTCAAACTTCCCTTGCTCCAACTTGCATCCCCCATCTCCCCGATGTTCATCTTCATTTTTTTAAGATTTTATTTCTTTTTTTTTTTAAGATTTTATTTATTTATTTGAGAGAGAGAATGAGAGAGAGCACAAGAGGGGGGAGGGTCAGAGGGAGAAGCAGACTCCCTGCTGAGCAGGGAGCCCGATGCGGGACTCGATCCTGGGACTCCAGGATCATGACCTGAGCCGAAGGCAGTCGCTTAACCAACTGAGCCACCCAGGCGCCCCTTAAGATTTTATTTTTAAGTCATCTCTACACCCAACATGGGGCTTGAACTCACAACCCCGAGATCAAGAGTCACATGTTCTACTGATTGAGCCAGCCAGGCGCCCCTCTATTTTTTTAAATATGATGCATCCCCAAATCAAAAGTAATTCCTTATAGCATTGAAACCATGATGCCATCAATGTAAGATACACTGTTATTGTATGGACTAGTAAAGCGGGGCAGGAAATGCCAATTAGACATGCTAGAGATTCTGAGAAACATTTGAATTCAGAGAACATGCAAGGCAAAAAAAAAAAAAATGCACATATCAGAATCAATCCAATATGGTGTGATCTCCATACAAAAAAATTGGAACCATAGAAAAGCATACACATGGGGCACCTGGCTGGCTCAGTTGGAAGAGCATGCAACTCTTGATCTCAGGGTTATGAGTTTGAGCCCTATGTTGGGTGTAAAGATTACTTAAATACATAAACTTAAAAAGAAAGAAGGAAAGAAAAGCACACACATGAAATTAAATCACCTATAATTCCACCACTCAGAGAGAACCTTTGTTAACATTTTGATGTATTTCCCTTCCAAACTTTTTTTTCGTCTACTCATATGTGGTCATAGAAAAATGTACGTGTATACAAATATATAGTAGAGTATATTTTTTTACAAAACAAGCATACTGTACATATTGTTTTGTGGCCCGTTTTATTGATGTCGGCATATCCATTGATAGATATTTTTCTAAAATGTGATTTTCTTGGGTACCTGGCTGGTTCAGTAGGTAGACCATACGACTCTTGATCTCAGGACCGTGAGCTGGAGCCCCATGTGGGGCGTAACGTTTACTTAAAAAAAAATTACTTTTAAAAACGCGATTTTTCTCATCTATAAAATGGGCCCAGCCAGACAGTGCTGAGTTGAGCAAGGCCGTCCTAAAGGGGAGCTGCTGCAGTCCTGTTGGCAAGCTCTTGTCTCCCTCCCTCGGCCCCCCCTCCCCCTCCCCCTTGCCCGTCTTCCTCCTCAGTCCTGCCTAACTGGTCCGAATCTGGTCTGAGTCTACGGATACGTGGAGCCCGGTTCTTCGGGGGGGGGGGGGGGGGGGGGGGCAGGGGCGGCGGCCGGAACGGGGCGGGGCCGGGCCCGGAGGCGGACTGGAGCGGGTCCTGCCCTCGGAGAGTGCGGATCTGCACCTCTCCCTCAAGGGGGCGGGGGCTGTGGTCAATTAAGAGCCCCATCTCCAGCGCTCTGACCTTCTGCTTGCTTGGTCTCCAGTTCGCCATGGCCAAGCGGCTGCCGGCTCGCAGGCTGGACGGGATTGATCACAACCCATGGTGAGCTCGGCAGGGCTGGGGAAGCTTGCGGGTGTCCCGTCGGGCGTGAGGGCGGGACAGGGCTGCAGGTGCCTGGGTTTGCGGTAACACGGCGGTACCCAGGACGGCCACCGTGCCCCTGACTGTGAGATTTGCAACCATAGGCTGGGAGAGGTGGGACCGGGAGCAGCAGGCCTGGGTTCGAATCTCAGCTTCACGCCGCTTGGCTGTGGCGCCGGGGGGAGGGGGGAGACGCACCTGCTCTTACCCAGGCACCAAGCTCGGCGCTTTCCAAGGATTTTTTTTTTTTTTTAAAGATTTTATTTATTTATTTGACAGAGAGAGACACAGCGAAAGAGGCAACACAAGCAGGGGGAGTGGGAGAGGGACTCGATCCCAGGACCCTGGGATCATGACCTGAGCCGAAGGCAGTCGCTTAACCGACTGAGCCACCCGGGCGCCCCCAAGGATTATTTTATTTCCCACTTAGTACAGAGTAAAATAAACTAAGTAAGATAAGGTAAAATACAGGCAGCTCTGCACTGGAATTTGCTGAGGTTACTTTATTTTCTCTGTTGACTTGTTCTAAATATGAAAGAAGCATGTGCCCATTGTTACTACTAATACAGTGGATGCAGTGGGAAGGTGTGTAAGAGAAATGTAGGGATTTTTCCTGATCCCTCCCCGCCACCTTTGGCCAGCAGCACAGAGGCTCAAACTCAGAAGATAAGTCACATGCTGTACCCACTGAGCCAGCCAGGCGCTCCGACATCCCTGTACTTTCAAAAAAAAGGTGTTGGCTGTTTTTACAAAACATGAGACCATTTTTTTTCTTTTTCCTTTTCTTTTTTAGAGAGAGAGAGAGCAGGTGTGGTCGCACGGGAGGGTTGGGAGATGGGGGGAGGGGCAGAGGGAGCGGGAGAGAGAATCCTAGGCAGGCTTCATTTCCAGCACGGAGCGCGATGCAGGGCTCAATCTCGCAACCGGGAGAGCAGGACCTGAGCCAAAATCAAGAGTCGGACATTCAACCAACTGAGCCACCCAGGTGCACCGCCCCCATTGTTTTTTTCAAACCCCCCTCGTGTACAGCACTTTGTGTTTTGCAAAGATCTTCCACCTGTTGCTCCATGGTGTCTGGGACAGAGGAGCCAGGCCCAAAACTCTAGTGTCCAGCTGCCCCCTGGGTTGTACCATGTTCCATCCTGTCTGAGGGAGGCTGGTCAGCCTCGTGGGCCTTTGCAGTTAAGGTAAGAGTCCAACTCCAAGGGAGGAAATGACAAGGAGGCAGGCTGGGAGAGGTAGCAAGACTTTCCTGACTCACAGACCTGGCAGACTCTTGAACCCAACACCCCCATTATGCAGAAGGGGAGATTGAGGCCAAGAGAGGCCAAGTCTCATGCAAAGGTGGGGCAGGACAGAAGCAGGCCTGTGAAGAATGTACGGGACGGGGTGGGGGGTTGCCGGGGGATGAAGGCCAAGGTAGTCAGGACAGAAGGTTGGTTAGGGGCAGAGAAATCAGCCTTGGCTGTGTTGAATTTGCGTAACATTATTGTTCCATCTAAAATCTGTCATTTTCTCCCCAGAGCCCCACAATACCTCTGAAGTTGCTGAGGATCAGAGAGGCTAGTGACCTGCCCAGAGTCACATAGCAGCTGAGGGCAGAGCTGAGATGCAAAATCAGGTGGCGGATGTTCCATGGTGATTGGAACAGGGGAACCAGGCTCAAGTGCCCTACAGAGACCAGCTGCCCCCTAGGTTGGGTCTCTAAGGTCCCGATCTTCAGGCCACCACTCTGGGGTTAGCAAGAACTTGGGGCCCTTCTGTCCTGACTACCATGACCTTCATCCCCCGGCAACCCCCCACCCCGTCCCGTACATTCTTCACAGGCCTGCTTCTGTCCAGGCTAATGGTCTAGAGCATAAACTTTGCTTCCAACCGATGTTGAATCAAAGGCTGGCTGGGCCATGAAATACCTGGGAGTCCTTGGGCAAATCACCGCCAGCTTCAGCTTCTCCATCCCCATTGTGACTCAGGAATAGGACATATGTCATATGTATGGGAAGGTTATTGAGCACACATTTCAAACTGCGGTTCGTGAAATCCACTTAGGAAGTCTCAACAAATATTTCTAAAGAATGGGTAGGATAGGGGCACCTGGGTGACTCAGTCAGTTAAGCGTCTGGCTCCCGATCTCAGCTCAGGACTTGATCTCAGGTTTGTGAGTTCAAGTCCCATGCTGGGCTCCACGTGGGGCATGGAGCCTACTTTAAAAAAGTAGGACACGGGATTGGCACAGTGCTTGGCCCACACAATCCCAAAGCGAGGGCCAGTTTTGACCCTTACACAGCTCTCAGCAGGATCTCAGCTGGAGCAGATGCTGACTGTCCAGTTTTTCTGGAATGAGCCCAGTGCATTGTTCATCCTGCCCTAGAAATAGGTGGAAGTCCAGGTCCGGGTGGGCCGGTGTCAACTCTCCATTTGTTGTTCAGGGTGGAGTTTGGCAAAATGGCCAGTGAATATGATGTCGTGAACTTGGGCCAAGGCTTCCCTGACTTCCCACCCCCAGACTTCGCAGTTCAAGCCTTTCAGAACGCCCTCAGCAGTGACTTCATGCTCAACCAGTACACCAAGGCATTTGTGAGTCTCCCTGCCTCGCCTGGGGTCCTGGGACACAGGCCTCAAGGAGGCCTTGGGGGAGGAAGGGTCAGGCCTTTCTGAGCATCAGGCCCACATGGGTGTTAGGGTTCTGGAGCAGAGCCCAGAGAAGTCAGTGTGACTATAGTTCAGTGTTCACGGAGTGTCTCCTCTGTTCCAGGCCCTGGGACAGCTCATGGTCTGGGGAAAGACAGACAAAAAACCATGAGCTGGGAGCTCAGGGTCTAGTAGGAAAAGCAGACCAAAAAATAAATAAATAAAACAAAGGCAGAAAACAAAGGTATTGATATACTGTGATAGGGGAGGATGGGGTGCTGTGGAAGCAGGAAAAAGGGAATGAAATCTGGGGAGACCAGAGGAGGCTTCCTGGAGGAGGTGACACGTAAGCTGAGTCTGGAAAGACAAGCTGCTGACTGATCTGACTCTAAATCCAAACTCTTTATGTAAAGGTCACAGAGTAAATATTTGCCAGTCCTTGGTTTAGTAAAGCAGTAAATGGTTCTTAAACTTTGGTATGCATCAGAATTACCTGGGGGGAATTTCCTCCAGTTCCACCATCCAGAGAAAACCACGACCAATAGTTTGCTACTTTGCTGAGCGTTTAGACTTTTAAACTTTTTTTTTTTTTAAGATTTTATTTATTTATTTGACAGAGAGAGACATAGTGAGAGAGAGAGCACAAGCAGGGGGAGTGGGAGAGGGAGAAGCAGGCTTCCTGCGGAGCAGGGAGCCTGATGCGGGGCTCGATCCCAGGACCCTGGGATCATGACCTGAGCCGAAGGCAGACGCCCAACGACTGAGCCACCCGGGCACCCCAACTTTTAACTTTTTAAAGTGCTTGTATAAACGCACACACACTCACCCCTAACATAATGAGATTTGCGTTTTTTAGCACAAATGGACTTGTACTATAATGCTCTGTAACCTGTTTATTTCACTAAGCAGCATGTCATGGGCAACTTTCCATGTCAGGATAGCCTCATTCTTTTTAAGGGCCACATAGTATTCCCTTGCCGAGCTGTGCCATAATTTACTGAAGCAGCCCTGCACTGATGGGCTGGTTTGGCTATCTCACTATTATAAGCAATGGCACAGTGACTATTTCTGTGTCTGTATCTTTGTACACATGTGTGAGCGTTTCTCTCAGACAAATCCCTGGAAGTAAAACTAGAGAGTCAAAGGGTGCAAGCATTTAAAGATGTGATGGATGTTGTCAAACTGCCTTCCAAAAAGGTTTACTCACATCCCCACCAACACACTGGTCTCATACTCTTGCCAGCCGTGGGCATTATCATCTTTTTTTTAAAAAATATATTTATTTATTTATTTGACAGAGAGAGAGATAGCGAGAGCAGGAACACAAGCAGGGGGAGTGGGAGAGGGAGAAGCAGGCTTCCCGGGGAGCAGGGAACCCGATGTGGGGCTCGATCCCAGGACCCTGGGATCATGACCTGAGCCGAAGGCAGATGCTTAACGGCTGAGCCACCCAGGCGCCCCTTGCCATACAGAAATTTTTAATTTTTACATGGTCAAGTCTGGTTGAGTGAATTATTTAGTGAAGTTCTAGACCTTGGGGTTTCAGTCCTTTGGCTTAGTCTCGAGTGCTTTGTAAGTGTCCTCAGCAAACAAGTGTACAGATCCAACCTTCCTCTCAAAGTGGGGTGCTTCCATAAAGTCCTATTCCTGCACCTCAACTGTGCATGACCTTGAGCAAGTCATTTCCTGTCTCTGGGTCTCCGTTTTTCTACCTGTCCAGTGGTGGGGATCAAATAATACGTGTCTTGCGAGGTTACTGGGCTGAGCAGATGGTACGGATGTGCTTCTTAAACTGAGAGGGAGGGGGTTAAATCCTGCAGTTGCCACTGCTGTGGGGCTCTGTTGGACGGTACTCCACAAAGTCACGCACTCTGCCCAGTTCTCCACCAAATCCTAGCCCTGGACTTTGGGCCTGCACAGAACAGGTCTGATGGCCAGCGCTGGTGGAGGAAATGAAAGAACTCACGTACAGGAGCCCATTTGCCTCAGGAAAGCTCTAGAACTGCCTGAATGCGGCTGAGCAGGAGGGTGGGCCCAAGCTGAGCCAGGCAACTGACCGCTGCTGTCCTGGCAGGGTTACCCACCCCTGACAAAGATCCTGGCAAGTTTCTTTGGGAAGCTGCTGGAACAGGAGATAGACCCACTCAAGAACGTGCTGGTGACTGTGGGTGCCTATGGGGCCCTGTTCACAGCCTTCCAGGCCCTGGTGGACGAAGGAGATGAGGTGAGTGAGCAAGGCTCAGGTTGGGTAGGGATGAGGGGCAAGGGGCGATACTGACCCCAGCCAATCTGATCCTTTTGCTAGGTCATCATCATAGAGCCCTTTTTTGACTGTTATGAGCCCATGACATTGATGGCAGGGGGTCGCCCTGTGTTTGTGACCCTGAAGCCGGTGAGGATGCTGGTTGGGGTGTGGGTGGGCAGAGGGTCCAAGGAGTGTGTTGTGTTGGCCCCTGGGAGGTGGGAAGGAAGGAAGGAAGGAAGGAAAGGAGGCCGGTTGCTTCAGGATGGGGAGGCGTATCCAGAGTTCCAGAGGAGAGAGGGTGGGGACAGATGCCTATGAAGGAAGGCCAGATCCTTGGAGCTGAATGTCAGGTAGCTTATTAATTGCTGCCCCCTTCCACCTCCTCTTACAGAGCCCTACCCAGGATGGGGAACTGGATTCTGCCAGCAACTGGCAGCTGGACCCTGCAGAGCTGGCCAGCAAGTTTACCTCTCGTACCAAAGCCCTAATCCTCAACACACCCAACAACCCTGTGGGAAAGGTACCTGAGAGACCGCCTTTCAGCGACCCCTCCAGACTGGGTTCAAGTCCCTGCTATGTTACTGATTTGCTGCGTCAGGCCTCAGTTTCTTCATCTGTGTAATGGGAGGGCAACGTGTAATGAGCTCTGAGGACTGAGGCTCCCCAAAGTTCCAGGGACAGGGGCAGGAATCCCCTTGGAAGGTATACGTGCTGGCCGGTGGAGCAGACTGGGTGCTTCCATGACTCCCGAGACCCTGGGAATGGTGACCTCACCTCTCGGAATGTCTTCTCATATGTAAAATGGGAACACTACAGAACTGATATACAGGAAAATCTAGTTGTCCAACTGGGTGTCTCTCCCCTAATATGACCACTGCACTTAAGACACTCTGACTCCAGGTGTGGGGGCCCCACACCCGGCAATTCTGCAACACCAGCTGGGGTAGTATCAGATCCCGTAGGTTAGGGCTAAGTCCCACAAGGCTGCCCGCCCTTCAGATGCCAGCCCAGCTTGTCACCTCTGCTTCTGATCAATGGGGTATAAATCTGAGGTTCCCATCACGCCCTCCTCGGGTTCTATTAATTTGCTGGCACCGCTCACAGAACTCAGGGAAACACTTACTTAGGTTTACTAGTTTATTAAAGGAGTTGAGAAAGGACACAAATGAGAAAGGAGACAATAGCCAGATGAAGAGATACACAGAGCGAGGTCTGGGAGGATCCTGAGGAGCTGCGTCACCCTCCCAGTATATGGATGTGTTCACCAATCTAGAAGCACTCCAAACACTGTACTATTGGGATTTTATGGAGGCTTCCTCACATAGGCATCATTATTATAATTTTTTAAAGATTTTATTTGAGAGAGAGAGAGCGTGTGTGCATGAGCCAGGGGAGGGACAGAGAGAGAGGAAGAAGCAGACTTCCCACTGAGCAGGGAAACCGACACTGGGATCATGACCTGAGCTGAAGGCAGATGCTTAACCAACTGAGCCACCCAGGCGTCCCATGATTAATTATTATTAACTCCATTTCCAGCCCCTCTCTTCTCTGTAGGATGCAGGTGGGGCTGAAATTCCAAGCTTGTAATCGTGGCTTGGCCATTCTGGTGACCAGCCCCGATCCTGGAGCTACCCAGGTGCCACCCAGAGTCACCTTGTTAGAACAAAAAACACTTCTAGTGCTCTTTTCATTTAGGAATTTACAAGGGCTTCAGGACCCCTGTGTCAGGCGTCAAAGACTGAATATTAGAACAAGAGATGCTCCCAGCGCCCCTGTGACGGAGACATTTACAAGGGTCTTAGGAGCTCTGTGCCAGGAACCGGGGGGCAGAGACCAACATGTATGTTTTCTGTTAGCTCGCAGCAGACCTCCCAGGGTCAGTGTTGTAAGGGATTCAATAGGACGGGATGGAAAAGCCCTTAGCAGCGAACTCGGCGGTATCCATTCATCTCTCTGAGCAGGCCTCTCTGCTTGGTTGTGGTCCCCACAGGTGTTCTCCAAGGCAGAACTGGAGCTGGTGGCCAGCCTGTGCCAACAGCATGACGTGATCTGCATCAGTGACGAGGTCTACCAGTGGCTGGTCTATGACGGGCACCAGCACGTCAGCGTCGGTGAGCCATGCCGGCCTGGGGGCCTCCAGTCCCCCGGGCATTTGTGGCAGGGCCCTGAGCCCAGTCTGGGAGTCCAAGCAGGCCCCGTAATTAGGGCCCGTGGGTCTGGAGCCACACAGGTCGTGTGGCCTGGGGCAGTGACTTCTCTGCAAGCAGGAGGACACAAGGGCACAGCCTCCCGGGGTGGTCATGAACAGGAGCTGAGATGAGCCCCGAAATAGCTTAGCACATAGCAGGGGCCGGGGTGCCGAGAGCCCGAGTGTGTGCCGGGGGCCCGGCCACCACCCCTCCCCTGCCCCTCGCCCCGGTCTCAGCAGCTCCTCTCTTTGGCCTTGGGCAGCCAGCCTCCCGGGCATGTGGGAACGCACCGTGACCATCGGCAGCGCTGGCAAGAGCTTCAGCGCCACTGGCTGGAAGGTGAGTTGACAAGGGTTGGGGTACCGCCTCCCCCCATGATCCAGGGCAGGTGAGGCTGCACTGGGAATCAAGAAGGCGGGTGGCCGGGCGCCTGGGTGGCTGAGTTGGTTAAGCGACTGCCTTCGGCTCAGGTCATGATCCTGGAGTCCCGGGATCGAGTCCCACATCGGGCTCCCTGCTCAGCTGGGAGCCTCCTTCTCCCTCTCCCTCTCCCTTTGCTGGCGGCTCCCCGTGCTTGTGCTCTCTGCCCCACCCCCGCCCCATCAAATAAATAAATAAAATCTAAAAATATATATATATGTGATTAAACAATGTATACATAATATATAAATTTTGTTTTTAAAAATAAATGTGTGGGGCGCCTGGGTGGCTCAGTTGGTTAAGCGACTGCCTTCGGCTCAGGTCATGATCCCGGAGTCCCGGGATCGAGTCCCACATCGGGCTCCCTGCTCGGCAGGGAGTCTGCTTCTCCCTCTGACCCTCCCCCTTCTCATGCTCTCTATCTCATTCTCTCTCTCAAATAAATAAATAAATAATCTTAAAAAAAAAAAAGGGGGGGGGGCTGGCCAGGCCCTGAAGGGCCTCACCCCCTCCCCGTGTTCCCGGTCCAGGTGGGCTGGGCCCTGGGCCCGGACAGTCTCATGAAGCACCTGCGCACCGTGCACCAGAACACAGTCTATCACTGTCCCACGCAGGGTCAGGTGAGGAGAGGCAAGGCACCCTGCTGGGGGGGGCGGGGCCACCACAGAGCCGGTCGGATCACCCCCCCCACCCCACCCCCCCGCCGTGTGCACACCCGCCCTGCCCTCCGCAGGCCGCGGTGGCACAGAGCTTCCAGCACGAGCAACTGCACTTTGGCCAACCCAGCAGCTACTTTGTGCAGCTTCCCCAAGCCATGTGGCGCTACCGGGACCACATGGTTCGCAGCCTGCAGTCTGTGGGCCTGAGGCCCGTGGTCCCCCAGGGCAGCTACTTCCTCATCGCAGACATCTCAGACTTCAGTGAGCAGGACTGGCCAGGCTGGGCGGAGGGGGGCCGGGTGCTGGAGGCGGCTCAGGGCTCAGCGTGGCTTCTGTCCCCCAGAGAGCAAGATGCCCGACTTGCCAGGCGATGTGGACGAGCCCTACGACAGACGCTTCGTCAAGTGGATGATCAGGAACAAGGTGGGCCGGGCTCGGCCTGGGCCCCCGTGGGTGCTTTTAGAGGCCGAGCCCCAATCCAGCCCAGCCTCTGCCATCAGCCCTAGTACTGGGGTGCATCTGTGTCTGGAATTTGCAAAAAGATGCTGTGCGGGCTGGCAGGCATCCCTGGGCTCTCAGGGCCTCGGCCGTCTCATCTGTACAGTGCGGAGTTGGCGCCTTAACCCCGAGCTCATCCGGCTCTGAGCTCTGACCCTAAGGCTGATTTCTTCTCTGGCTCTGCCCTGACCTTCCACGTGGCGCTCCCCCCCCAGGCATCCACCACCTCCCCTCTGTACACAAGGAGGGACTGGGAACGATGCTCTGCCATTCTTTTCCCCTGACCTTGACCCAGCACTGAGAGGTACTGCACCGAAGCTAACTGTCCCTGCCCCAGCCCATCGTGGGAAACTGTCCCCCAGAGCCAGGGCCTGCCATGCTGTGGGGCGGTGTTGAGACGTGGGCTTCCTCCTCCCCAGGGCTTGGCGGCCATCCCGGTCTCCGTCTTCTACAGCAGGCCACATCAGAAGCACTTCGACCACTATGTCCGCTTCTGTTTTGTGAAGGTAAAGGACGGGGTTGGTGGGGAGAGAGGGCCTCCTCAAGCTCCCCATGGCCCACTGGTGGTATGGGGAGAGGGGTAGGACCTATCTGTGTTGGTGCAGGATGAGTCCACGCTCCAGGCCATGGACGAGAAGCTGCGGAAATGGAAGGATGAACTCAGGCCCTGACGCCGCCTGCTCATCCCGGCCCCACCTGGTTGCTGCATGTTCTTTGCCAGGGTGTCAGCCCTTCCCAGGCTGGGCGTAGACTGAGCTAGGGGCCCCCTTCTCTGTGACACAGGATATCCCCAGGGAAGAGCCCTCCTTCTTGGTCTTGGTGGATTCAGAAGCGCTTCCCACAGTACCTATATTCCTGTCATAGTGGTGAGGTGCACCTGACCTGGGCCTCTTCCTGCTCCTCCCTGGATTGGGTCATAGAGTCTTGGGTCCCCTCCGTATTCTGTAGTTGATGAACCGATATTAATACAGTATTATTAACTAAAGTCCATAGTTTACATTAGGGTTCACTCTGTGTTGTACATTCTACAGGTTTTGGCAAAGACATAATGTCATGTATCTACCATTACAGTATGGTAGACTTGTTTGGGACTCAAGGGACAGAGTCCAGCAGTGTACTGGCCTCGAGTCCCAGCCCTGCTCTGGTCCCAGCCTAGGCTCCCGCATCCCGCCCTTTCTTTCTCTCCTTAGATAACCTCGGGAAGTGGTCTTTAGGCTTGAGTCCTCAAGCCAGTACTTTTCACCCATAATAAAGCTTTAACTTATTTAGACCCTTATTGGCTGCTTCTCTCTGCTTCACACGGTGGTGCTGATCGCTGATGGGGCCTGGGGCGAAACAGAAGACACCTCAGTGAAACTTAGATCCCAGCCCCTCTTTGTACAAACGTGTTTTGTGGAGTAAAATGGAGGCCCAGAGCAGGGCAAGGCCTGGGGACTTGTGTGAACCCAGGGCTCAGAAGAGGTGTGGCTGTGGCACATTGTGCATGTGTAGGAGGTGGGGGCCTCCGTTGAGTGTCTGACAGGGAGACACGAACAGTCTCCTGTCTCACAGGGGTCAGAGTGCAGGCCAGGAGGGCCAGGGAGTTCAGGCAGAAGGGGAAGGAAGTAGCGCATTTAACTGTGCACCCCCCTGTGTCAGGGGCGTAGATGCCCACCATCTCATTAAACAAGCCTCTGAGGACGCCTGGGTGGCTCAGTTGGTTAAGCGACTGCCTTCAGCTCAGGTCATGATCCTGGAGTCCCAGGATCGAGTCCCGCATCTGGCTCCCCGCTCAGTGGGGAGTCTGCTTCTCCCTCTGACCCTCAAGATCTCTATCTCATTCTCTCTCTCAAATAAATAAATAAAATCTTAAATAAATAAATAAATAAATAAGCTACATACTTTGATTCCAACTATATGACATTCTGGAAAAGACAAAACTATAGAGATAGTAAAAAAAGATTAGTGGTTGCCAGGGGCTTGGAAGAGGGTAGGTGGAACACAAGATTTTTAGGGCAGTGGACTTATTTTGTACCATACTGTAATGGTAGATACATGACATTATGTCTTTGCCAAAACCTGTAGAATGTACAACACAGAGTGAACCCTAATGTAAACTATGGACTTTAGTTAATAATACTGTATTAATATCGGTTCATCAACTACAGTAAAGGTACACAGTAAGGCAAGATGTTGAGAGTGGGGGGAAATGAGTGGGGGAGAAGGGTTATATGGGAACTCTACTATGTGCTCAATTTTTGATAAATCTGCTCTAAAAAATAAAGTCTGTTAGTTAAAAGAGAGAGTAAATGAATGCATCCATAAAAGAACTGGATTAAATTCTAAGATCATTTCCAGCTCTGAATCACACTCCAGCTCTGGGCCTCAAGGTCCCCATGTAGAATAAAATCGAGCTGAGTTTTAAGTGTCGCGCTCCTGCGGAAACGGAGGGCGGCTCTCCTGTCGTCCAAAGATTCAGCACAGCACTGCACAAACTGCCCCTCTGGACCCTCGAGGCCGGCGACAAGTTCTGGCCCCCACGCCCTGCGCGGACCCTGCTCACCCACAACCCACGCGCTCGCAGAGCCGCCAGACGTGTAGGCCACGCCCCCGCATGCCATTGGCTCTCCGATTGGACGGCTCGGGGGGTGTGACCGGAAGAGGTGAGTCTGATTGGCAGGGCGTGGCCGACGGTGTGCGGGGAATATGGCGGAGCGTGTGAAGAAGCGGCCCTGCGGCCCGGTAAGTGGCGGGGGGTGGAGCCCCGGGGCAGGACAGGGGGTGGGGGCGCTAGAACGAGCCGCGTGGGGGCCCGTGGCGGGGTTGGGCCGCGCCTCCCGCTCCCTGCTTATGGCTGATCCGAGGCCGGAAGCCCCGAGGTGCCGCATGCTCGTGGCCGCGTGCGCCCCTGCGCATGAGAACCGGGGGTCAGTGCCGGGGTCCGAGCCAGGGCCGGGACAGCGTCAGGTAGCCCATTGCTGGAGCCCCTTGCGGCTACTCTGACCCGGGCGTGGATTCAGGAGGTGGCGTATCTTTCGTGGCGTATCTCTTCTGACTCCCAGGGCGACAGGAGGCAGATCCTCTCCCCCCGAGCTTCAGTTCCCTCTTCTGTCGTGTCAGACTCGATTCGACAACTTACTGAGTGCTTGCTATGTGTCAGGCCCGGTCCCAGGCCCTAGAGTGTCGCAGGTCTCCGCTCTCTGACGCTCTCCCAGCAGCAGCGGTGTGGGGGCATTCCGCGGTTTCCTCACCACCCCCACTGATAGGCAGGAAGTGGGACCCCCTCCCAGTTGTGATCCTTAAGCCTCACTCCGGTACCTCTTCCCATTCCTACTCTAGGGTGAACATGGCCAAAGGGTCGAGTGGCGAAAATGGAAGCAGCAGAGTAAGTAAGAGGCTGAAGGGGAGGGGATCTATTCAGCCTTGCCCGAGGCCACTCCAGCAGTGCGCTGCTGAACCTCGGGGGGAGCCTCCAGGTGTGTCCCTCTGGGTCCCCCAGCACCCAAAATGGGAAAGACCGGCCACGGAGGCTCCTCTGGCTGCTCAGTAAGCAGCACGGGAGAGGCCAGGCTGACCGTATTGGGAGGGCACCATCTTCTGGACTGCTCCATGTCCCTCTCCCTCCAAGTCCCTTTCCCCTCCACCAATCCGCATGTCCTCTTCTCCAGAGAAAGAGGAGAAAAAGAAGTGGAAGGATCTCAAGCTGATGAAAAAACTGGAGCGGCAGCTTGCACAGGAAGAACAGGCAAAGCTCCAGCAGGAAGAAGAAGCAACTGCACAGAGGGAGGACCAGGGTGAGCAGACTGGGTCCTGGGCAGGGAAGAGAATGTCATATCTGAAAGGGACCTTAGAGACCAGTGGGTCCAGACGTCTTGTCCTGAGGGAGAAACTGAGGTCCAGAGAATGGGGAAACCTGAGTCCTAACCTCCTACTTAGGTAGACTTCAATCCTTTGGAGCCTAAGCATTACATATCATAACTTTATACCTCCAGAACTCATCATCATAATGACAGGTTTTTGTTTTTGTTGTTTTTTTTTACTTTTTTATTGAACACTTTCTGTGTGCTTTAATGTAGTTGTTCATTTACTTATTTTTTTTTTAAGATTTTATTTATTTGACAGAGAGACACAGCGAGAGAGGAACACACGCAGGGGGAGTGGGAGAGGGAGAAGCAGGCTTCCCGCGGAGCAGGGAGCCCGATGTGGGGCTCGATCCCAGGACCCTGGGACCATGACCTGAGCCAAAGGCAGACGCTTAACGATTGAGCAACCCAGGCGCCCGCGTTTACTTATTTTGATTTTATTTTTTTAAGGAAGCTCTACACCCAACGTGGGGCTTGAACTCACAACCCTGAGATCAAGAGTTGAACGCTCTACCAACTAAGCCAGCCAGGCGCCCCTTATTTTGATTATAATAAGAATTTGTCTTTTTTTCTCATTAAATAATACCCGTTCAAAACATCCCCCTCCCCAAAATACAGAAAACTGTAAAGAAGAAAAATCCCAGCAAACATTGCAGTGAAAGTTTCTCCAGGTGTTACGTTATATCCACTTATGCATATGTAGAGTATAGAGATACAGTTTTACAAAAATGAAGTCACTTTATCCGTTAGCTTCTGGACTTGGTTTTTCTCATTCCACATTGTGCCCTGTGTGTCCTTCCACATTAGTACATCTGGATCTACCCTAACAGATTGTATCTTTTCTCCTCTGTCTAGACCCAAATGTCAGGAGGGTTAGGGTGTCATAACACGCCCTCTAAGCCCGTTGGTTACCAGTGATGATGTTGACAGTGGGGATAGCAATTGAGCATGTCAGTTGTTTCAGACACCAGGGAAGTCCTTCCTGGGTGTTCCCTCATGTGGCTCCCTTTGGGTGACTCTGGGAGGGAAATATGGTGGTCCCTCTGGAACTAGACAGCCTGAACCCGTATCTCAGCTGTCTTGCCTTTTGTGTGACCTTGTGCCACATGTTTGATCTCTCTGGGTCACAGGGTCCCCACTTCTCGATGGGGATCATAGTAGTACTTCTTAGGGTTATGGGGTAAATGCACACAGAAAAGGCCCTAATAATCTTAGCTCTCTTTATTATCCCCATTTGACAGCTCGAGAACTGAGGCAGTGGGGGTGGAGCCAGCACATGAACGTGGGCCAGTGCCTCTAACCACTCTCCAGTCTTGCCCAGTGGTGTGCCCTGTCCATGGGCGCCTCAGGGACCAGTAGGTCCATTTTCCTCCTGGGTAGATTGAGGCCTCGAAAGGGGAGTTGGATCTATTTTGCTGGCCTCAAAATTCCTCCCAGAGGAAAAGTTTTCTAACTCTGGGCCCTGGGATTAGAGGGAGAGAGGGGAGAGCTCGACCCTAGCCTCTTAGACTGCCCATGAACGCCCCTCCCCTGCCCAGGTCGGCCCTACACCCTGAGTGTGGCCCTGCCAGGCTCCATCCTGGACAATGCCCAGTCACCAGAGCTGCGCACCTACCTGGCTGGCCAGATTGCCAGAGCCTGCACCATCTTCTGTGTGGATGAGATTGTGGTGTTCGACGAAGAAGGCCAAGATGCCAAGTGAGGGGCCATCCAATAGGGCACCGGCACTCAGTGAGGAGGGAGGGACCGCTAGGACTGACTTTGCTTCATCCTTGTCGCTGCCTACTTGCCTGGGCGGAGAACGCTGCCTACAGTTTCCCCTGGTGAATCTGGTGGGAAGAGTTGCAAAGCAGGGGCACTGCAGGGGTCAGATTGGGTGGAGGAGCTCTCGAAGGGAGCACAGTAGGCTCTGGAAGCCCTATCTTTCTCTCTCCAGGACCGTGGAGGGAGAATTCAGGGGAGTCGGTAAGAAGGGGCAGGCATGCGTGCAGCTGGCCCGGATCCTGCAGTACCTGGAGTGTCCACAGTAAGGGGGTGAAGGGCAGACTTCCCTGAACGTGATGGGGAGGAGGAGGGTGGTCGAGGTGCAGGTCAGGCAGGGGACAGCCTCCCCTGGGAACTTCCTGAGATCCACGGTCTTTACTAGGTACCTACGAAAGGCGTTCTTCCCCAAGCATCAGGATCTCCAGTTTGCAGGTAAGGCCGCAGGGGGTGCTGACCCCATTTCTCATGGATCACCCCCCAGACCCTGAGAAATTGCTGCTCGGTTGAGAAAACAGGCCCAGGCAGGGCAAGGCCTCTGCCTGGTGGCAAACAGCAGGTCTGTGGCAGCCCTGGAACTCGGACCAGGCCTCCAAGGTTCCTGCCATACCACCATGTGCCTTTGCATCTCCCAACCCACAGGGCTTCTGAACCCCTTGGACAGCCCTCACCACATGCGTCAGGATGAGGAGTCCGAGTTCAGAGAAGGCATCGTGGTGGACCGGCCCACCCGGCCAGGCCACGGGTCCTTTGTCAACTGTGGCATGAAGAAGGTAGGGATTGGGAGAGCGGGTTGGGACAGACATTCCGGACACATCCGGCCATGGAGGGCAGGCAGGGTCCTGTGAGCAGGGAGCCCTGGACCCGGGCATCTGTGTAGATGACCCGGGCCCTACTGATGTAGATTTGGGCCAGAGAAGTGCCCCCAAACAGGGCTCAGTAGATAAAGCCAGGAGCAAATACACTGTTTCTTGTTGCACTTTTTTTTTTTTTTTTAAGATTTTATTTATTTATTCATGAGAGATAGAGAGAGAGAGAGAGAGGCAGAGGGAGAAGCAGGCTTCCCACGATGCAGGGAGCCCGATGCGGGACTCGATCCCAGGACCCTGGAATCATGACCTGAGCCGAAGGCAGACGCTTAACCATCTGAGCCACCCAGGCGCCCAAATACACTGTTTCTTAAAAAGTAAATGAACAGAGGTAGTCCTCACGCTCAGACCCAATCCACCCCAGCCAAAACCCTACAAAAACAAGTTTAGGATCCCTCTGGGGCAGCTCCGGCAGGACGCAGAGCCACGCTGGGATTGGCGCATTCATCTGCTGCCTGCTTACTCTCAGGGCTTCTGGATTCAGAGACAGAAATACTTCAAGGTGGAGGGTCCCCTCCCCTCAAAAAGAGCAGACCAGAAATGACGGGCTAACTGCAGACCAGGATGACCCAGACCCAGACGAAAGGAGAAAACAGGAGAAACCTCAGAAGGGAAAGTGCCCTATCCTGAATTCAGAGTTGGCACAAAACACAGACATCGGTTATCACTCGTCGCAGCTCCCGTTGACCTCACACCGGGCCCTGGGCTGTTGTGTGTGGAGGGTTTGCTGTTCGACAGCGGAGGGAACTGAGGCTCGCAGAGGTTAAGTGGCCTGCTCACACCGCTGTAGCTAGGAAGTGGTGTAGCCACATCTGTTCAGAACGTAGAAGACTGGGATTCCATCTTGCGAAATACTCCTGCCCTGTGCCAGGCCCAGGGCGTTTGTCTTTGCCCAGCGTCTGGTAGTTTTGCAAGAATGGTCTCTCTCTCTCTCTCTCTCTTTTTTTTTTTTTTTAAGATTTATTTATTTGAGAGAGAGAGAACCTGCACATGCTTGCATGGGGAGCAGGGAGGGGCAGAGGGAGAAGGAGAGAGTCCTCAAGCGGACTCCCTGCTGGGTGTAGAGCCCATCGTGGGGCTCGATCCCAGGACCCCGGGATCTCGCCCTGAGCCGAAATCCAGAGTCGGCTGCTTAACCGACTGAACCACCCAGTCACCCCACAAATGGTCTCTTGAGAGCAGGTCTGGCCTGGGTGCCAGAGAAAGGGGACAGAGGTTGAGCTGGACCCCTCAGGTACCTTGTGAGCCGCTCAGATCTCCCAGCATCTGGGAGAACAGTGACACCTGCTGGCCGTCTGGGGAACAGCACCCATTTCTCCTGGCTTCTCCCCAGGAGGTGAAGATTGACAAGAACTTGGAGCCTGGACTTCGCGTGACAGTACAGCTGAACCAGAAGCAGCTCCCAGGTATCTGGAAACTTCCCAGCCTGGCCCAGCCGGAGGGCTTGGAACCGCCTCGGCCACCTCCTGTCCCTCACCCCCTCTTCACAGCCTCCCTGCTTCTCTGCAGAAAGCAAGACCTACCGGGGAAAAGTCGTGTCATCGCAGGACCCTCGCACCAAAGCCGGTCTCTACTGGGGCTACACGGTCCGGCTGGCCTCCTGCCTCAGTAAGGACAGAGCTTCCTCCGATGAAGAGCTGGCCCCTCTCTGGGAGGCCGCAGAGAGCCTTGCTTGACCCAAAAGGCACACCAGCGTCCTTGGCCTGCCACCTTACTGGGTGTCCTTAAGCAAATACCTTTCCTTCTCTGGGACTTGGTCTCCCTGACTGCGCTGCTTGGAATACTGTAAAGGACTTCTGAGGAAAAGGATCGCGATTCATTAGTAACGTCTGCCGTGGGGTTGGGAATAGGACAAAAGGACCAGATAGGTCTAGGGTGCACTATGAATTCTCAGAGCTCCTTCCTACCCGCCTTCAGCTTTGCGTCCCCAGTCTCGCATAGGTGTGGTTTCTCCCTGCTGAGTCCCGGACTTCCCAGGAATGGTGGGTGTGTGTAGCTGGGTGTGACTCCCTTACCTGAGTCCCCTTTTCCAGCCCTTCTCCCCCCCGCCCCCATATGCAGACACACATAGCCAAGTGGCTCTGGCATTGGAACGGGACCCCCAGGGAACTGGTCTCTCGCCCAGGTGCTGTGTTTGCTGAGGCCCCCTTCCAGGACGGGTATGACCTGACCATTGGGACATCAGAGAGAGGCTCGGATGTGACCTCCGCCCAGCTGCCCAGCTTCAGGTGGGTACAGCCTGGGGCAGGGGCTGGGGAAGGGGAAATGGAGCCGGAAACCTGTTTGGTGGAGGTAGAGCTATACAGACTGGGCCCCTAACTGTGTCCCGGGAGGGGGGGCTGAGAGCTCTGGGAAGCTGCATTCAGTGTGGCCTTAGTGAGCAGGGACTGAACCCCTCCTGTGGGTGCCAGGCATGCTCTCGTGGTGTTCGGGGGCCTCCAGGGGCTGGAAGCTGGAGTGGATGCTGACCCCAACCTAGAGGTGGCCGAACCCAGTGTCCTCTTCGATCTGTACGTCAATACCTGCCCTAGCCAGGGCAGCCGCACCATCCGCACCGAGGTGAGCCTGCCTGCCTCCCGCCTGCAGCCCCCAGGCTGTTCTCAAGGTTCTACTGCCAGCCAGGGGTCTATCCAAGTGGGGGTGCAGCTCTGCCCAAGGCTGTCTCAAGCCAGCCTTCACTGGAGATGGTTTCCTAACGGCCTCGGCCTCTCACCACCATGAATTCCAGCAGGGACAGAGTAGGAGTGAGCTGGGAGTCGAGAATCCTGGGTGCTGGTGCCCATCCAGCTGTTCCCAGGCTGGGTAACTCAGGAGACCCTGGCCATCCCAGCTCTGGGCCTCAGTTTCCCCAGCCGTACGCTCAGTGATCCACTTCCTCCACGTGACCGTGGTGGGCATGGCAGCCCTCCCCACTGGGCTTCAGTGGCACCTCAGTCCTGTGGGGGGCAGTATGCAGCCAGCTCTGGGAGCCTCAGTCCTGTGCACCCATGGGACCGGTGGACCCACTTCTGAGGTCCGCACGCTCGAGGCACTTGGCGTCCAGTAGTCTCAAAGGGTGGTGACTACACAGGTGGGCAGCTCCAGTCTGTCCCTGAGGGCCCTCCAGGGGCCACACCCTCCCAGCAGGAAGCCCTGCACCCACCCTGTCCTGGGAGCTGAGAACACCCCTTAAGGAGCAGAGAGGCAAGGGCATGCAGCCAGCCTGTGGCAGATCGGTAGGATGGGGCTGAGCCTGTTCTTAACATCCTGGGGGCCCTGCGGAGGGCAGCAAGCCCCGGGGCCGGGGGAGGGGGTCTGGGCGGTCGAGCCCTGTGAGGCTGGGAGCTGGGCACCCGCCAGCCTCCCAGGCCCCAGCCCACGGCCACACTTCCCCTCCAGGAGGCCATCCTCATCTCCCTGGCTGCCCTGCAGCCTGGCCTCACCCAGGCGGGTGCCCGGCCCAGCTGAAGGTTCCGGCAGGCCGAAGACCGCAAAGCAGCGGCACGGAAGCCAGAGGCTCCTGAGGGGCCCCTGGGACAGACACAGCCGGGACTTCTGTCTCCAAAGATCACCACCTTTAATGCGACCCAGCCCCCACAGTCCGGCAGGGTACGGCCTTCACTTGGAGCCTGCAGTGATGGCCTTGAGGCTCCCTGCCCGCGCCAGAATATTTGGCACAAAGAGCAGCCCCGAGGCCCGCTCGATGCTCTCGATGGGCACCAGGAAGCGCTCCAGCGGGACCGCCTCGTCCACAGGAGCGTTGGGCATCACGTAGGAGTGGAGTTCGATTTGCCCGCCTGCTGCCTCCAGGATCAGCACCTTGAAGAAGTGGGTGGGCACCGCCACGTGGTTCTTGCCGATGACCTGGTACTTCACATAGGACTTGCCGTCGGCCTCCGTCCTGCGGGCAGACCCGGGCGCACGAGGCCTTTCAGAGCTCCCGAGGGTCTGCTCGGGCCCGAGGCTGCTCCTCCGAGAAGCCTTCCCGGCCTGACTTCCACCTTGTGTCAGCCTGTAGGACTGCCCCCTCAGCGGGAGGCTTCTGTGCCCTTCTTGGCTCCCCCAGGAGGCTGGGGGCTCTCTGCAGGGTAGACGCTCCCTCACCCTGTTTCCCTCAGGCCCAGCACCGGGTCAGGCAGGGTGGGTGGTGGCAATAAATGCGGCTGAGAGAATCCGGCCTTGTGGGCATTCACCTTCATTCGTGCAGACCCGACACTACCGCCTACCTCCCCCGTGGAGGGTGAGCACCACGTGGGCGAGGGCCTGGGGCCCAGAACACGGGATGGAGGACTTCGGTCTTCCCCTCGGCGGGGCCTACTCCATTCCAGCAGGCCATAGGAGGGACCTGCTAGTCATCCATGCCTCCTCAGCCAGCCCATGCTGAGCGCTTACTACAGTGACCTCCACCACCCGCCTTTCACCCTGAAGCAACCGCGAGGTAGGAAATGGCTATTATCCCCACTTTACAGGAGAGGATATTGAGGTCATTTGCCCATGGCACCCAGAGACCAGGTGATAGGGCCTGGGTTCCTTCTGGGGCCTGTGGACTCCAGAGCCAGTGGCTTCCCCACAACCCTTCACCTCCCCAATCTGTCTTCAGTGGGCCGGAAAATTCACTGAGCATGCCCAGGGGAGCTCAGTCCCTTCTACCTGGGAGGCAGGGCTGCAGAGGGACAAGAGTGAAGGCTCGGGATCGGGGAGATGGAGGCCAAACCCTGGCTCCAGAGGGTGAGGAGGGTTGCTCTAAGCAGAGGAAACTGAAAGCAAGAGCCTGGTGCAAGGCTTTCTATCTGAACAGAAAGGGAGTCGGGCACATGGCAAGAGGTGAGGAGAGAGAAGAACAGAGGCAGGTTTGGGGCCTGATGCCAGGGCAGAAGAGACAGTCTTTGTGGGTACCCCCACAGGCCTCTAGCTATAGAAATGCAGTTAGGGGGTCTGAAGCAGAGAACGGACAGTCTTGTCAAGAAACTAGACGATGTGACTTGTCACTGCGTGCGCACCCAGAGACTGAAGTGGGCCTGGATGGTGAGTGGCAGGAGGGGGCCTCTAGTGAATGGGAGGCCCTGGCATCCCCAGCTGTTCCCCCCCACCCCCACCCCAGTTCTAGCCTTACCTGGGCAGGAAGAGCGGCCCCGTGCATACATAGACATTTTGGTAGGTGCGAGTCAGGCTGCGGCTGTACTTCTCCAGGTTGTTCCAGGCGTTCTGGTTGAGATGGGGCACCTGGTTGGAGAGGTGGGGCTCAGACAGACTGTCAGATGGGCAGGAACTGGCACCAAGCCAGGACAGTCCGATGGGGAGTGGGCTGGGCAAGCATGCTGAGGTAACGGGTTCAAGGAAGGAGAGTCACCGTTAGGCCACCTGGCCGTGAGGGTGGAGCCAGACAGAGCTCGGGGGGTGCTAGCCCGCCCCCATCTAGAATGGGAGGACTGACATCCCAGGTCTCAAAACCGCTTTTCAGCTCCAAAGAGATGCACTAAGGAAAGGAGCACTTCTCCCTCTTCAGAGAAACAAGCCCCCCTCCCCCCCATCCCCGGGGCCTCATGGGAAGGCCAACTCTCCAGCCCTACCCTCTCCTTCCTGAACCGCGTGCAGAGCCCAGCTGGAAGTCATGTATCTGCTCTTGACTCCCCACTCTTGAGCTCTCCAGTGTCTAGTCAAATGGGCAGGGAACTGAGACGCTGGAAGAGCAAAAGTCAGATGGGAGGTTCAGACCCCCTGGGCTTCACCCAGAGCCCCAGGTCGTCTCCAGGCCCTGCTTGAACAGGGCTTGAAATAGAGCACACAGTGAGTTACTTTCCTCTGACTCCTGGGAGGCAGGCAGGGTAGGGACAATGGCTGAAAGCTCAGGCTCCTCTAGACAGACTGCCTGGGTCACCTGCTGTGTGACAATGGGCCAGTCACTTTGCCTCTCTGTGCCTCAGTTCCCTCATTACAGCTAATATGCGCTGAAGGCATGCCATGGGCCAGGAAGAGTGCTCAGTACCCTCGTGTGCCCTGTCTTCGCTGCGAGGAAACTGAAGCTCAGGGAGGTGCCCAGAGGCCCACAGTTAAGGTCGGACTGCAGAGCGGGTGCTGGGTGGCTTCGTGCTCGGTGCCTCCCGCCAGGGGCGCGCGGGGTGAGCAGCCAGGCGCCTGACCCGCGGCGCGGGCGCTACCTGGGGCGCGACGTTACTCAGGTAGAAGGTGTCCTCCACGGCCTTCTGGCTCCAGCGGTGGTTGGCGGCGGCGGCGAGGTGGCCGCGGTCGAAGCCACTGCCGCGGTAGTCGGCGTTGGTGGCGCGGTGGTACGCGTGCACGGAGTCGTCCTCGCGGAAGTCGCACGAGCGGCGGTCGCCGTCGCCGCGGAGCCGCTCGGGCCGCAGCTGCTCGACCACCCAGAGCGCGCCGCGGGTGCGCGGGTCGTAGCACAGCACGTACGACTCGCGGCTCTTGAGCTGCGCCAGCCCCGGCAGCCCGTACTTGGCCAGCTCGCCGGCGCCCGCCGGGGCCCCAGGCTTCGCGGGCACGGCGGGCAGTTCGGCCGCCGCGGCCACGGGCAACACGGGCAGCCGGCCCAGCAGCCCCGGCGCCACCCGCGCGTCCTCCCGCCGCCGCCGCCAGCTTTCGGCCGCCGCGCCCAGGCCCGCGCCCAGCGCCAGGGTCAGGCTGGCCCGCAGGGCCTGCATGGCGGGGAGCGCGGCCCGAGAGCAGGTGGAGGGCGGCCCGTGGCGCCCCGGGAACACCGCGACCTCCGGCTGCCGACCCGCGAGGCTCTTAAAGGGGCCGCGCCGGTCTGCGGGGCCCACCGCGGGGGAGGAGGCCGGGTAGGGGCGCGGGACGGTGGGCTGCCCGTCGCTTCCACTCGCGGACGCTTCGAAGAACTGGGGAACCCCAACAGAATGGGTCAGGACCGGCGCCGAGGGGACGTGCCGGCGCCCTTTCTTTGCCCTTTTAAGACGTGCACCCGGGAGGGGGCGGGACGTGCCCCTGGTTCGTGACTGGACGCCGCCGCCCGGCTCCGCCCCGCCCCCTCATTGGACTGCACGGGGACGCTCCGCGCCGCGGGTAGGAGCGCCTACTTATTTATGACTTACGAGCGCCGAGAAGTGTCAGGCACTGATCTAACGCGCTTTCACTACTTGACTTAATCTTCAAAAGAGCCCCGAGAGGAAGTTCCTAGTTGGCTGGACAAAGAAACAAGGACAAGATCCCAGGTCTGCCTGACACCAAAATCTACCCTTCTAACCATTACACCTAAGTCGAAAGTTGTAGGACGTTGGTAAATATTTTAACACCGGGCAAGAGGACAGGGATGCAGGCGGCTGATGCTAACGGCTAGATGGGACAGAAAATGGCACGATTCTAGAAGGCAGTTTGGCAGTATGTATAAATGCCTTAAAAAGGTTCATACCTTTCAACCTACTTAGAAGACTGAGCTGGGGAAACGAATCGGGAATGCAAGGATTTTAAACACGAAAGCTTCCCCCCACGGTATTACTTATAACGGAGGCTGAAATAAGCAAACTGTTCCAAGATAGGGGCTGGATTCAGACATTTTTAGCATATGAGAATACTATATAGCCCGTAAATATATTTTTAACATCATACAGCAACTTGCTTACCACCTAACCTGAGGGGGGAGACAGTACACAAAAGTGTATCAAGAAAATGACAATGTAGCAAAGACTAACATATTCTCAGTGATTTTCTCTATAGACTGTGAGTAGTACGGATTTTATTTGAAGTTTTGTCAATCTCAAAAATAACTTGCTGTGTAATCAAGTGGCATAGTACCTCTTTCCCTAGCCCACTGGCCCTTGCCCTCCAGCTGCAAATCGCAGTGGTTGAATGAGAAGACTTGAATAGACTCTTCCAACAAGAATTTCCCAGCCTTTTTCTTTGCCCACTCTGAGTCTCCTGACTCCATCCCTGCTCAGGCTTTTCCTTCTCCAAGATCTCAAAGGTTTCAGCCCATCACAGCACCAATGCCCATTGCAAAAAACACATGATTTATTAAAGACAACTTGTCATCAATCAACAGCACTGATTCAAGGAATAAAACTGATGAAAAGAACAAAAGCAGACTCACATTCTGACCCCGGAGTGAGACCTGCTGAGTTCATATAGCCCAATCTGTAAGTGTCCAAAGTCCTGGGGGCAGCTTCCCAATAGGGAAGCCTCAGACACTCTGGCTCTCAGGGCACCTCTCTGGAGAGTCTGGGAAGGGGGAATCACCAAGGGCCTGCCCTTTCCCCAGGCAGTATCCCACTGAGGAGTGCAGCCTAATCTGCACAGGGTCCCTGTGCTCGACCCTCATCCCAAAGTCAAGGAGAGAGCACTGGATCTAAACCTGCCACTGAGGCGAATCAGACGCAGTGATTCAAGTAGTATGGCCCCAGGAGGGAAGGCAGGGGGGGCAGGCAAGAGGGAATGCATCAGGTGTCCTGGGCAGAGTCTGCTGGGGCCCAGGCTGGGGCCCAAGCCTCAGGCTGTGAAGGGGTCAAAGTTGGGAATGAACCACCAGCTGACAAGTTCTGGGAAGAGGCCGAGCCAGGCTGCTGGAAGTGTGTCTCTGCGCCATGCTGGGGTCTTATGGTCCAGAGACGATACCAGCCCTCTCAGCAGCAGCCCTCCCCCGTCCCTTACCCTCAATTCCAGTACAGAGCTCACAGCCCTCCCAGCCAGGAACTGCTGGAAAATCAGGAAGGTCCCAGAGGCAGGGGGAGAGGATGCAGACTCTGACCTTGCAAAGACAGGAAGACTGTCTCCAACTGCTTTTTACCCTCCTGGCCCCACCCTTCACCTCCAAGTCAAGCATTAGCCAGTCTGCAATAAATAACCAGGGGTCTGAATAAATAGTAGAAAATCTCCCAAAGACTGTGTGTTGGGAGAAGAGGAGGCAAAAAGGCATGTGCATAACATCCCAGCAGCAGCCAAGGTACAGCTGGGATAGGAGCCATTGGCGGGCAGCTCTTCCCGGCCCACAGCCAGGCCTGGGCGGGCAGCACAAAGTCCTGGATGCCTGACTCGGGAAGGCGGTGGGGACAAGAGGGCCACCGCTGGCCAGTCTGAGGAGAGGCTGAGGACCCCCTGCTACATTGCCCAGCCTTCCAGACCCAAACCACCTGCCTCCTCACAAGAGGAGGAAGGGCTTGGTCAAAATAAGCCCACTCCTTGCACAGCCCAGTGGCAAGAGAAGCCAGTTGCTTCGCCCAGAGTGCCCCTGCCCCAAATCCTGGGAAGAGCCCAAGCAGGTGACCAGGGAAGGGCCAGCAGCTCCTTCACCCTGCTTGGGGGAGACACGCCTTTTCTGGCACCGACAGGATCCAGGGCTGTTAAACTCAGCTACCCCTCGCCCAGGGAGGCTCCCGCTGGCCCCACCTGCCCTTTATGGGCCTCACCACCCTGGGCCGGAACCTGGAAGCCACGGGAAGGACTACTCTTCTGAAGCACTTGGATCCCAACACCTGGCACAGTACCACTTTCCTGTCCTTTTCCTTTGGGAAACATGGGCCTTTAGGGGGAATCTCTGGAAGACTCAGCTCTCCCTCGTCTCCTTCTTCCAACCCTGGGCAGAAAGGAGGGTAAGGAGCCCAAAGCCTTGTAGGCCATCATTTCTCAGCAGCTTTTGTTCCCAAGATTTCTGTCGGGAGCAGATTCAGGGCCCTCTAGGGAGGCACTACGGCCTCCCTCCCAGTCTGTGGGACCCGGGGACCTAGGGCTGGGGATGGGAACAGGCCTCAAAAGTTGACCCCCAGGGACTTCGCCAGACTCCTCATTCTGTCTCTGGGGTTCATGGAATGGAGGGGAGCAGGAGGGGGAAGAGGCTGGGGATAAGGCACCCCAAGAGAGAAGGGCAGAGGGAAATGGAGAGAGGGGCAGACAGAACGAGACAGTCACACACACTCTGAGGGGAAGGGGACAGAGAAGAAAGACCTCAAAGGAGCAAAGATGCCCCCACCCCCCTCACACACACACTGCCCGACACCCACAGAGGAGCAGCAGATACCTGGGGGATGAGGACACACAGACACACCCACCCATGACTACAGACAGAAACACACTCAGTGGGAGAGGGACAGAGGTTGTGACCTGGGCCTGGCAGCTTCTTAGCTCCTTCACAGTGTCACCTTCCCCATGGAGAAGCCTAAGCACCAAGCCCCAGAAGAAGTGGTACTGGCTCATTTGCCAAGCACCTCCTGCAACCAGAGCCCAGAAGACCCGAGCAGGAGAGGGGGAAGGGAGCAGCAGAGGCAGGGAAGGACCCTTGCTGGCCCCCAGTGCCCCCAGTGTGCCCCAGCCCCAAGAAACTACCTCATGAGCTCCAGCCTTGCTCGGCAGCCTGGGCAAAAGGCCTCCAGGTCGAAGAGCAGGGAGGGAGCCAGGGCTGCGTGGTTAGAAAGGAGCATGGCACAGTGTGCCCCCAGCGGGAGCGGCCTAGGGTGAGGGAGCCAGATGAGGCGGCCTGGAGTGGGCCGGTCCTGCAGCTTCCCCTCGGGCTGGCTGGGATCCCAGAGGCTCTTGTGTGTCCCAGAAGCCAGGGCACAGGGGTCAGTGTCTTCTCTCCCAAACTGGGCCTCTTGCCAGCAGGCTACTTTGAGTCTTGGAGTTCCTTGGCTTTCTGTAGGATCTGGCAGACATCTGTGATGGGGTAATCCTAGATATGGGAAAAGTCAACAATATGCCTTTGAAGTCAGCTCACCCTTCGCCACCTCTGCCACACCCACGCCCTTCCCACTGGGCCCTGTCACCATGCTGGGCCCTGGGCCTCAGGGACAGGAACCACAGGCTACCAGGTGCCCCATTCTGCCCAAACCACTGCAGCCCTAACTGACCCAACCCAACCAGCACCAAAAAGTATCACAGCCCCTTCCTCAGGACCAGGACCACCCTCCCCCCATCTCTCTCCTGCCCTCAAACCCAAGTGCCGTTCATAACGAGCCTGAGAGTGGGCCAGACGTTGCTTATGCACTAGGTTCACTGGGTCACTTCATCAGTCTGAGGAGAAAGAGACTGTGACTAGGCCTCTTTTACAGACCCGGTCAATCCGATTACTGAAAACCAACCCCAGGCCAGGCACTGAAGAAAGCGAGGCCTGGAAAGGTTGTCACTTGGCTTGGGTCACGCGATTAGCACAGTGGCACCCAGAGCCGCTTTTGCGCCCACTTCTCAACCATTATGCCCCCCATCCTCCCCCAAGTCCGAGCCCTTGCACCACCAAGCGCTACGACGGACGAGGCGCCGCTATGTCCCAGCTGCGATGAACTCCTGTAGAGCGTCTGGTCCAGAGATACCGAGTCGTTCACTCAAGGTGACACCACACTCAAGTGGCAGAAGTGGGATTCAAACCCAGACCCAAACCAGATGCGCGTCAGGCGTCTGCACGCTTATGTCTCAGGGTCCCTGACCCCAGCTTGTAACAGCAGCTGGCGTGGGTGGCTGCCTGGTAAGTATGTGCCTCATGGCTAAAGACGGGGCTCGCCGCTCCAAACCCCATTACCTGTAGGAGCCGCATGTTTATGGTAAAGTCCCCTTCCAGCAACTGCTCCCGGATCAGTCTGAGGAAAACAAGCAGCGAAGGTGCTGGAACCCCGGGGCCGCAGACTGCAGGCCCAGCGGGCCCCTTCCCGCTCCCTCCTCCCCAGCTGCAGTGGCTCACTCCTCATGAGGGCAGCCCCTGCCCACCCCTCTGCTGGCGGTCACACTCACATGAGCATGGCGCAGCAGACCAGGAGGAGGAATTCGAAACGGTTGTCGTCGGCGAAGAGGGAATCCCAGATACGGATGACGTCGGGCAGCAAGAACTCCTGGGACAGCAGCAGTGTCAGCCAGCGGAAGGCGAAGAACTGGGGCTTGATGTTCTGCTCTTGCTGGGGAGACAGAGGCGTGGGGTGGGGTGCTCGGCTGCCACGCAGGGCGACGCGGCCTATCACACCGGCCGCATGTGCCCACCAGGCACGCTGAGTGGGCAAGGGCACTGGGGCCGGCCAAGGGGCATCCGCCAGCCAGTGCCGCCAGCTCTTCCAATTTTGCAAGAGAAGCCAGAAATCCAAGCTTTTATGTAAGCTCTCTAGATTTACAAACGATGGCTCTAATTCTTTTAAAATAGGGTACGGATTATAATCTTGGATTTAGAGGCAGACAGACCCATTATCGGGCACTTACTAATAAGCCTGGCCTTGTGCTTAGCATGTGAAATAGATCATTTATTTCCTCCACACCGCAGACTTACAGGGCCGTCATTCCCCAGAGAGATGAGCCCTCGGGTCAGCCCCAGTGAATGTTAACTGAAAAACTGTGACAAAACAGCAAAAACATAATTCTGTATCTGTTTAAAAAGACCTGTTTATAGGTATTTTTTTATTCAAACGATTTTTGTTTATACATACAGTTTCTCTTCACAAAACTGTTTTCTGAAATAAACAGGAATGCCACTCCATTAACTTTGAAGATCATTTTTCATTTTTAAAAATGATGTTCGTACTTTTTTCTCAGAGGACTGCTACCAGGCTCAAGTCATTCAGCGTATGGTAAACACCCTGCGCCGTGCCTGGCACACGACGGGCACCCTACCAACTTCCTCTTCACGCCCAGCCTGCTAAGCTCCCACGTCAACGGCTGCCTCAGTCTCCCAGCCGCACCACAGAGCTTGGGCCAGCACTCCCCAGCGGGAGCAGCCACTTTCCATCCCCAGACTCATGCCAGACCTTGCCCTGGGCCTGGGG